GGTGATCCCAGCAGCTACCGCTCGCTTCATACCAACTGGACGGATAGCGGAAATCCGCCCCAATTTCCCAGCCGAAGCAGCCGTTTTAGCTAATAAGCGGGACACCTTACGCCATGCCGATCCCGGGGATCCCCGAATAAGGGATCTCAATTTGGAGATTCGGCACAGTTGACATAAGCAGACGAAATGGATAGGTCCTCAACCAGTCGCTAACCACTCTTCAAATACCCGATGTGTGGAAAGTCGGAAGAGTGGTCCCACTACTGAAACCTGGGAAACCCGCCAACAAAGGGGAATCTTATCGCCCGATAACTCTCCTCTCCCCAGTAGTGAAGACACTTGAAGCCTTGTTACTCCCGACCTTCACTCACCACACCACAGCACTTAGCGTCATAAACGCTCAGATAGTTCGTGGCCTCAACCAGAAACCACCCYGTGAGAGAACGATCCTCGTAGCGTTGGACCTGTCAAAAGCCTTTRACACGGTCAATCACACAACACTACTGCAGGACATTGAGAAAACCACGCTTCCTCCAGGGCTCAAGAGGTGGGCCATGAACTATCTGAACGGTCGTCACTCATCCGTACTATTTCGAGGCGCAACATCTAAACTGAGAAGAATTAAACAGGGGGTTCCGCAGGGTGGTATCCTCTCCCCGCTACTRTTTAACTTCTCCATCTCGAAACTCTCGCAACCACCAGAGGGGGTTTCCATAACCTCGTACGCTGATGACTGTACGATATTGACGTCGGGCAAAGGAATCGATGGCATGTGTTCAAAGGTAAACAACTACCTCTCCGACCTTTCTCGTTTCCTMACTSMACGGAACCTCCAACTTTCCCCTACCAAATCCACAGCGACCATATTCACGAACTGGACGAAGGAGTAYAGACTRGAACTTAATATTGCAGTCGACGGCGTCAAAATTCCGACTGTCAATAACCCTAAGATTTTAGGTGTCACCTTCGACAGTCTATGCTCCGCAACAAAATCCTCAAGTCCCTAGCCGGCAACACATGGGGAAAAGACAAAGAAACGTTGTTGGCAACTTACAAGGCAATCGGACGGCCGGTCCTTAACTATGCAGCACCCATATGGTCGCCTGGATGCAGTGGCACGTAGATGAGGAAACTACAGACCTGCCAGAATACAGCACTCCGGACCACGACGGGATGCCTCTGATAATGAACTTCTCTCCAAGCAGTTCCTGCTGGGATGTTTTCGTAGAAATCATCCTTGCAGTCATCTGATTGGAGCGGAGCCGCCTCCTAGGAGCATCAAGAGGTCATCCCTTGATCACGTCGACGACATCGAACAATACGCCGACAGGACCTCGGACGCAACAGACTTCCGACAGGCACTGACCGCCATTCGTAGTGGAGCCATCAACACCTTCACCGACTCCCTAGCCGTGAATGGTGTACTTGGAGTCAAATCACCACCCATAGCAGACGAAGAGCTCGAGTTGCAGCGAGAAACGCGAGTGACCCTTGCGCAACTTCGTTCTGGATATTGTAGCAGGTTAAACTCCTACYTATCCAGAATAGACCCTGACATACCCAACGTATGTCCTGCATGCAACGAGTCTCCGCATGACACTGACCACCTCTTTGCATGCCCCACCCCACCCATCTAACACACTTTGGTCCGACCCCGTCGAAACAGCACGTTTCCTGGGCCTCCCGTTAGATGACATCGACGACAACACTGATAACTCTCATCATCCCAACGGGGACTGATAACAGTTAAAACAACAACAACCATACAACTGTAATTTTCTTATATATTATTATAGGCACAAAAGACTCGGGGGGAAAGTATGCTCCCGAGATCACCAATATCAGCACCCGCGGTGGCGTTTCCACAACTATATTGTGTATATTGAGGTTACGGAACCGGAGCGAATAGATGGCACTCCTCAAGACTATTTGAAGAACGTTTTCCACAACATGTAGACAATTTTATATACGAGTATATTGTCAACAAGCAGTGACCTTAGCAGCCACTGCTTAATATACGTATATTTAAGTGGAATAATTGTTTATATTTATTTCTCTATAAATAAATAATCACATCAATATAACATGTAAGGTAGCGTAAAGAATTTAATTTCCCCTTTTAAGAACATTCATGGATAGACTGAAAGCGCAAAAGAATCCTTAACGGACAATGTTGAGAAAACATAGAATAAAACGCTTCTTTTTGTCAAAGACTATTTTCTATTTTATCTTGAAATATGTTTTAATTAACTCAATAGCACTACTTTATAACTGTTTGTGTATATCAAAATCTTATTGTAATTTCTACGTACTATATGGATCCATATCTACAAATCTGATTTCAAAAGTATGCCTAAACAATATTTGTAAGATTTTATCCTAGAGCCCATCTGTTATTAAAATTATACAGTTATTAGATTCAACTATATAATATATTTAATATTTAGTTGGTCAGCTTTTATAAAAATATCTTGCCTTATTACTAAACCTACCTTCCTCAATTTTATTTGAGGATTCAGGTACAATGTTTTTAATTGCATTTATCGAATTTAATATATTGCCAAAAATATACATATAATAAAAAATCATTGAGTGAAATATGAAAACAAAAAAGGTTTTGAAGGTTAATTTTTGAAACAAATTATATAAAAAAGTAAGGTTGCTGCAAGATCAGATATTTTGCATTAGTAAAAATATATCTTTCAAACAGAAAAATATGTTTYAAACATTTTAAATGTCATACTTATTTGTTACACTTATATATACTATACTATACGTTAAACTCAAATTTATTGCACATTTGTACTACAGAATGTAGAGTACAATTGTTTATAACTAAAGTAAGAACTATTTTTTTGAAAAGAAGATATTTTGTTATTGCGTTTTTAAGAACAAAATACTTTAGGATATTCGAATTAATCAATGGACCAGTAACACTAGCGCTACACAGTAGCCAGTAAAGGTGAACCAGACTTATTCAAGTGTCATGAAGAACACTCTTCTGATGAGAAGATTCCAGAATCATAATCATCATTAATATTTGGCTGTTTCTCAATTTGTTTCAAGGGTCGGACAACATTCAAGTCAACTTCCACTATATCATTGCTAACTGTGCCATTTTCATTCATCCTTTCATTACATTGGCCTCCAGATATAACAACAAACGGTTCTTTTAAATTATGGCTCGATATGTTACTCTTATTCGATTTTTTTGAGTAAATTATTCCAATATTATCTTCAATGGCTACAGTATGACGCTTTGTGTTTAACAAACTCAATTTTATATCGCTCCACGCTGAAGGCTTTTCAGAACATTTTTCGAACACATCGATTTTTATGTTATTTTGATTTGCCTGTAATATAATATAGAGAAAGAACAATATTTAAAAAAAATTAAAAATAGATATTAGGAGATATACAAATTTAGCAGTTTTAAATTATATTGAATAAATTTAGCATAAATACTGTCTTCTGTTTGTTGAAATATCTCTGGTGTAGGTGTAAAATAATTATTGTTTAAAACCCAAAAAAACAAGCTAAATAATTCTTAATATAATATTTATTTGGACAGGTGAATTCAGAAGCATTGCTACAGAGATATAATAGTTTTGTTCATCTAAGTGTTGTTGATCAGGATGACAAGAAAAGTCGAAATCCGGGTGACTGTCTGTCCGACCGTGCAAGCTGTAAAAATTGAGATATCTTAATGAAACTTGGTATGCGGGTTTCTTAGTACAAAAAAAATACGAGTTTGTAGGTGGGCGTAATTGAACTACTGCCACGCCCACAAAACGCCATTAACCGAAAACCTATAAAGTGACATAACGTAAGAACTAAATTAAGATATAGAACTGTAATTTGGCAGAGGTGATCGCAGTAGCAAGGGGCACCTGTTGGCAAACAAATTTGAAAAGTGGATGTGGCTAATAAGTTTACTGAAACCTAAAATACTAAAGATCGGCGCAAATATTATAACAACCTCTAGCGAGAGTATAAAAATGGATGAAATCGAAGATAACCCAGCTTACTCCCCATATAACGATACTGTTCAAAACTGCTAAAAGGGCAATAAATGAATAACTAATTACGCCAGAGACATTAAACTTTACCTCCGATATGGCTTAAGAGGGCATTATAAGAATAGGTGTGAAAATTGGATGATGGGCCTAGCACCGCCCAGTTTTTGGTAAAGCCAAATATCTCGGGACCCGACCGACCGATTTCATATTGCAAATTTTCATATAACACATTAAATTCCATTTGTTTCTTTCACTTTGGTCAACCCAATATCATTCAGTGTGTGACATATACAATTGATATTCAGAGAGAGAATCCTTTCATGACAATAGTTAWTCTGTGTATCAAAAATGGGTTAAATCGGGTTAATACTTTCCTGAGCACACATGTACCTAATATAAAATTTTTCGATCTTTCAGATGACTTTATGCTAGGTGCACGTATTTATTTTTGTGGATTCGACTTAAGACTACTTTTTGGGTGTCCAGAGAATCTTAACTGTACTGGCAATTTGTTATTTGTTTATGTTAAGTGAACGAGATCGTCTACAATCGCTTTTTGTTACTTCTGATTTTTAATTAAGTTTGAGCTGCTGGACCTCAGAAAGCGATGCACAATTTTATTCTTTGTTTGTTTATTTAAAAGTGGCTGTGTCCCAGTAATACACACATTACGACACATTTATTTGTTTTAAAATTAATAAGTTTTGTGTTTTTTTCTGTCCATTTCATAATATGTATATTTAACATAAAATATAGCAYATCAAAACATTTTTTTTGCACAAATAAAAAAAATTAATGCTATAGGTAAGAAACGCCTAATTTTTTGTATCAAAAAAGTTTACATTCACTAATGATTATTTATTTAAATCAAAAGTAATTACAATAGTTTTATATGCATTTATTATTTTTTTGACCTTCATTTTGTTGCTCCCTACTCTTTCTAGTATCATTTCCGGATATTTTGACCCACTAAGTCCATTAATTTTTATGCACTCTTTTGATAAAATTCCAATAAGTTCCAGATATATTGAAAAGGATTAATGTGTGGTGACTGCGGGGCATATGGAGTTATTTTCAATTCCATAAAAACCCTTCACGTTCAAGATAAGATGTGTATTTTGGGTCCTTATCCTGTTGGAAATTGATTTTATTGCTATTCACAGCCAATGTTCAGATACATGTGTTATATAAACTTTACTGATTCACTGTATGCGTATATAAAATAGCTTATAGCGCTTTCTTTTCGCGACAAAATTTTGCCTCATTATATGACAATATTGTACAAATGTTCCATTACCCCTGGGTAGAAAATGTTTAAATTTTGCCTATGTAGAAGACAATACTTTGAGAACAGAACACACAACTTTGACAACTCGTGCGTAGAACAGTATAAATGCAAAATTTTTGTGAGAAAGGAAAACGATCCTCGGGTTGACGTTGTACATCTTAGGGTGGCTTGGATTCTTACAAGTTGCAAGAATAAAATGTTTAGGACTTCTCGATGACGAGATTAACAAATGCCATTTTTAAATGGTAAATACTTGATAAATCAACAGTCTAAATTTTGTGAATAAATGCCAGTCGAAACACGGTATAACGTCACGCGAAGCTCGAAATATATTATAACATATTATATTAGGCATTTGGGAACTAGGGGATCATTAAAAGAGAGTTATGCCAATTTAATTTGTTCAATTTATATATAATTTTATATCTTGAAAAAGTTCGTATTGTAGATGGGTATYGTCCTATTTCACATTGCCACATCCGTAAGCCGCCACTAATCGCAAATTTTTAATGGGTTATAACTGTTTTGGAACAACTTGTTTCAAGAAAATTTGGTGCATATATTATATGAATATATCACGCTTACTTTCCATATACATATCACTATTTTAATTCCATATGATACTTTCAATTTAGATTTTATAATTGGAAGCTAATGACTGAGCATTCTATTGTAGAACCCGCAGAGGTGATCTAGTGACTGATGAACAGAGTATACTAAAATTATAGAGACAACACTTCTCCAGCCTGCTGAATGGCAGTGAAAGTTTAACACCAAGAGAAGTCGAACCCTATTCCCCAATGGGAGCACACGTTCCATTGCCTACCATGAAGAAGTTCGAATAGCAATTACCCGTCTGAAGAACAACAAAGCTGCGCCGATGGATTGCCGGCCGTGCTATTCAAACACGCCGCGAAGAACTGATAAGGAGCATGCATCAGCTTCTTTGCAAAATATAGTCGGACGAAAGCATGCTCTGCCCAATCCACAAAAAAGGAGACCCCATAATCTACGCCACATACCTTGGATAAGTCTCCCCAACATCGTATATAAGGTTCTATCGAGCGTATTGTGTGAAAAGTTAAAGCCCACTGTCAACAAACTAATTGGATCTTATCAGTGTGGCTTTAGGAATGAAAAATCTACAACTGACCACATATTTACCATGCGCCAAATCTTGAAAAAGACCCGTGAAAAGAAAATCGACACACACCATCTCTTCGTCAATTTCAAAGCTTCTGTMGACAGCACAAAAAGGAGCTATTTTATGCCGCGATTTCTGAATTTATCATCCCCGCAAAACTAATGCGGCTGTGTAAACTGACGTTGAGCAACACCAAAAGCTCCGTCAGAATCGGGAAAGACCTCTCCGAGCCGTTCGATACCAAACGAGGTTTCAGAGAAGGCGACTCACTATCGTGCAGCTTTTTAAATCTACTCCTGGAAAAATAATAATTCGAGTAGCAGATCTCARTCGACCAGGTACAATCTTCTATAGAATGTACAGCTGTTGGCGTACCCCAGTGATTATAATATCATTGGCCTCAACTTCCGCGYCGTTAGTTCTGATTTTTCCAGACTGGATAAGAAAGCGAAGCAGATGGGTCTGGTAGTGAAMGAGGGCAACGACATATTTTTTCCCCCACAACAGCCGGTTTTTCGCACCGGAATTGATCCGGCCAAGGGCTGTTTTTTCGGCTGTTTGGATCGGTAAGTGTTAATCTATGTTAAAAATTTTTTTCATCAAACATACAGTCGTCGCACTCGCTACTTGGCTTTCATGGCACTGTTGGCAGTCATAACTTCATCACAGCATCAACACCAACAACAATGACAGCCTCGAAATCCAACGCAGAATAACTCTTTCCAACAGGAGGTGCTACTTCGGGCTGAGTAGGCAATTGAGAAGTAAAGGCCTCTCTCGACGAACGAAAACTAAACTCTATACGTCACTCATTATGTTGTCCGAATTTACGAATACACTCCAGTTCTGAAAGCATTTGGAGGGAAGTACCCTTCGGAGGAAACAGAGACAGAGGGGGACCTCCACTCCGCTGGAAAGGCCAGGTGAAGAAGGACCTGGCTTCGCTTGGGATCTCTAATTGGCGCCACCTTGCAAAAAGAAGAAACGACTGGCGCGCTGTTGTTAACTCGGCTATAACCGCGTAAGCGGTGTCTACGCCAGGAAAAATGTGGAAGAATGATGTTATCGAAATAAAACTATGCACACGAAGTTTTCCCATTTAATGCGTGCGATTTTACGTCCAAAAATAGTCGAAATCGTACCCCAACTTTTCAAGACCCAGATGCGACCAATAACCTTGACAAACGTCAAACGTCTTTTACTTTATATATCCAAAAGTTGCGCAAGGTGTTTTAGCGAAATTTGGTTAACATTTAAATTGAATATATTATATTACAACTTTATTACATACTCGTAAATGGGTATTTTAAGTTGATTTAAAAAACTGGTTTAGTTAAATATAAATCCAATGGTTTTAACCTTGGGCTAAACCTCATATCCCTGACAAAATGACTTCCGATTATTTGGTTCACTTTTTCTCATGCATCCAATACATTAAATTTTGCGCATTTAGTTGAAAATACTCACATATATCTCACATTTTAGATAATTAGGAGTTTTAAAATAAAAATTTCAGGCAAGAATGAAAATCTATATAAATAAAAATGAATTGTTGTTCGTGTGTCTGATTAAAACTTGAGAACGGCTGGGCCGATTGAGCTGATTTTGGTTTTAAAATGTTTGTCGTAGTCCAGGGTAGGTCTAAACGGTGAGCAAATAAGGAAAAATTGCGTGTAAGATAGAGTAAGACGACAATTCCATTTTCCCATATTTACTTTTGAATCGACAACATAATATCAACTTTACTCACAACATCGTGTATTTAAATTTCAAAATATAAAAATAATTAATGCGTTGACATGTTTGATRGGTTGCCAACCTTACAGTGTTATAAAATCTCAAAAATATTTTTATTATAATAATAACATTTAATTGGAGAAATACTGAAATACTGCTAAAAGTGATTTTTTTCTCGCTGCTTACAATGCCGAGGAAAAAAAAACGACCTGACATTGGTCGTCGAAGTCGTGTAAATGTGCAACGAGCTACTTTACGCTCCAACCGCACTAATGACCAGCGAGAGGCTGATAATGATAACAATCGTACAAGAATGGGAGAATTACGTTCAAGAGAAAATAACTATGAAGTGGATAGGCAGAGAATGGATCGAGTTCGTGCACATCGATCACAGCAGCAGCGAGCACGGGATAATGAATTTAATCGATTCCGCAGACGAAATGCTCCTGTAAACCTCGAACGAAGAGCATTTTCCCACGATCCGGAAATTGATTATAGTGCCGACAAATCTGTGACGAATGGAGAAATGTCAATCATCTTACAACATTGTAAAGCATTAAAATACAGTAGTGAACCTGGAGGATTATGTTGTGCTGGTGGCAAAGTACAATTGCCACAATTGGTTCCACTACCTGAACCGTTAGACTTAAAGATTTGTTTATCATTTTCACAGTCTTAATATGACTTAATATGTATATAATATGTGCATTTGGATCCTTACAATTATTGGTTTTAAAATGAGAAAAACAACACCAAAATACTGATGTCATAATCTTGCCAGTGGACTTTTTTGTCTTGAGAACCGTTTCATAATATACAGTCCACTATACTGACTGTTGATTGGACTCAGTTGATTTTCGTGGTGCTCAGCCCAAAGTCAACAGTATTTTCCCCTAATACAAGTTGCTTCACTTTCTCATTAACTAATAGTTATAATCTAACTAATCGAAATCGTATATAGATGGTATAAGTAGTATCATTTATGTATTAGCCACAGTAAAGCGTGGACGGGTCCTCTAGTGTAGTAATAAAACTAAGTGACTCTGTGATTTATTATATTTTTACATATCTTCAACTATTTCACATTTCTTAATGGCAACACATTTGCTTTGTTGAGCAAGGAACCTAACGATGATGCAAAGGGTACCACCACAGTCGTGAATGCCAAAAAATATTGTTTATTTTTACTGCCGGGCACATTTTAGGTCTTAGCGAAAATGTAACATGCTTACACTTCTGTTCATTCACATTTATATGTCAGTTCCCTAGCCATTCTTCGACAGAACTTAAATGCTTCGCTAATATTCTTGATGCTAAACTAAAATGTATTCATGGTTACGGCTCACAATAGTTTATCGGCCGCAAAAGTTGAAGTTAATACATTGTTAGGTGTTGGAAGATCTGCTGTATATATGACGTATAGAGTTGGGCCTAAAATAGTCGTCTGTGGTACACCAAGCCTTATCTGTCTCCAATGTTTTATACAATTCTAAAGGTGGAATTTTTTTAATCTTATATAAAAGGCCCCATGCCACACCTTATCAAACGCCTGAGCTATATCTAGAAATATTGCTGAACAGTACTCCCTGTGCTCAAATGCTTTCCTTATTTCGTTAGTAATTCTATTTACTTGCTCTATTGTAGTATATCTCCCGATTTACTTCAAATATGTGCCGCTTCGTTCGATAATTTTTTTCCATCTAGACGGCAACTTCATAATACCCCCTCGTAGAAGCCCCCTCCTTATTTGCGAAAAACTCGGAGAGCCAATTTTCACAGGCCTCTTTTGTGTTAAACTTTACACCAACAAGGGCGTTTGCCATGGACAGAAACAAGTGATAATCACTTGGCGCTATGTCCGGGCTATATGGTGGATGCGATAAAACCTTTTATCCGAGCTCCCTTATCTTCTGACGAGTCATCAACGAAGGGTGTGGTCTGGCGTTGTCCTGGTGGAACACTACACCTTTACTGTTGGCCAATTCTGGACGCTTTTGGAAAGCCCTAAAGTCCTTTAAGCCGCCAGTAGATTCCAACATGCCTGACAGTTGAATAGTAATTTGGCACGTAGTGATGAGAAAACGGCAAATTGCTTTGCAAATCACCGAGAAAAGATATTTCAATCCAATTGCCCAAAGAACAACTTTAAGTTGCCAACTTTGCCCACTACCACTAACGCTTGTGTCTATTAGGACACGGTAATATTACTCCAAAAATGCTAACTGARTTACCAAATATTGCTATAACGGTGCTTTCGGCGAAAGACTTAACACAGCCGTATTCTTACAGACCAATAAGTCTCTTACCCTGTATTTCTAAAATATTTGAAAAAGTGTTACTAAAAAAGATGAGTCCTATCCTCCACGAAAGAAATATAATATCCGCGCACCAATTCGGGTTTCGTGCTAAACATGGCACAGTAAATAGTAAGGAAATAGAATCATCAACGAAATCAAGAAACCATTCGAGCATAGGGAGTACTGTTCAGCTCTTTTTCTAAATGTAGAAGCATGAAAAATCAAAAACGTTTTACCTTACGAATTGCATAAATCTTTGGAAAAGGGGCAGGCTTCATATCAGAAAACTAGCTATATGGACTGGTGTACCTCAAGGTAGAATGCTAAGCCCAACTCTACACAATATATACRGCTATTAACGTAATGAGTGACCAACATAGCGAAATTGTCCAATAAACTATTTAAATAAAACTATTGAAAGTTACATATACAAATTTATAAAATAAATCAAACCGCCTACTCAATAATCATGTTTGAATCATACATATATGTACAGATCTCAAGTCACAAGTTTCACACAGATTCGTTTTAATATGTTATATAAAGAAATAATTTCTGATAACAGAAAACTTCAGAGATAATTGATCATTATTTGTAGTAATTGTTAGCGTATATATAATTTTTAATAAAATGTAAGATATATTTGTAGTATATAAAATAATTGATATTTTATAATGCTAAAAATCAGGCACTAACCAATTAACTGAGTCATTGAGAAATAAGAAAAAAATCGACTTACCAATAACAAAGTCGATAGAAAGTAACGCGATACATAACTTTCAGCCTTATTGGCCATCATATCTTGGAATGTTATAGACGAGTCCTTAATATGATCTTTGGAAACTTCAGGCTTCTGCAACTCGTTCATAATTTCCGTCCCTAATTGAAAAACATCGAAATGATGACGATCTCGTGCCTTTGATAAAATAGGTTGCAAATACTCATGCCATTTTTGTATCTTGTAACGAAAAAGTTAATCAGCTTAATATACTTTATTTTATTTTATTAATATACCTTTGTCCTGCTATTTTCAAGTTCTTGAACGTTGTCTGTGCATAAAATAACGTCCTCAAATAACAAATGGGAGGAGGCTTCATTCTCATATTGGATAGTATTGTTCGCAGAAATATGAATATCGGAAGTTAATTCATTGGTCGAATTTTGACTTTCTGAAGTTGATATTTTAGCTTGACAGGTAATATCTTGGATAAAACCATTCTGACTATCAGGTATCTGTTTCGCATGTTCTATATCAACAGCTTCTTTACTTGTAGATATTAGTTCTTTAGACCGTGATATATTGTTTAGGTCGTCACAAGTGATGTTCACTTCACACACGTTTGTGGTTAATGCCACGTCTGCGTCAACACCTGAATCTCTGCTCAATCTATGCAAATTTTTATTTAACTGTTCCTCCTCAGTGAATCCCARGAAATCCTCCACATCTTCACCATCACTAAGTATGTCATTATCTAAAATATATAACAGTTTTCATAATATTAAAGTCGATCAATATAAAAGTAGTAATGGTATACCAGTTTCGATAGTAGGTTTACGAACATTGACTTCTTGAGATTCATTGAACAGTTTCATTGGTCGGTATTGTCTTTGTTCATTTGCATCCATGCAAGTCGATTTTTTCATTGAATGCTATAAGAATGCATTAGAAACAAAGTCGGAAGATTACTACAAGTACTTACCGATTGTAGAAAAAGTTCCATTTCGGGTCCAAGCTTAAATAATATTCGACGTCTAAGTAGTTTTTCATGAAATTTAAATATATTTAGATTTATTGGAGGTGTGGAAGGTCGTACTTGAATAGGCATTGTGTAAGTGGGAGGTGGTTCTTCGTCTGCTATATTTAAAATGCTCCTTATTTCATCATCAATTATGATAGTTATACTTTTTTTATTTGGTATACAGGGGAATACATCAGTAGTAACTACTCTGGGCGATAACATACGGTGCTCCTGGTCATCCAAATCCGAAAAGTAAACGCCCTCATCGTCTAGGTGTGGAAGGTAAACACGTATTTTATTCAAGTTGATTTCGTTTTCGTCTAAGAAATGTTTAAAATAGTGATCTGTTTACAAATTGAAATATGAAAATATCTTACTGTTGCCAACTTTATTTTCAGTCATGTACTCAAAATTGTTTGAATTAGATTCAGCATTTTCCGAAGATAATATATTGGTGTTCTTATTTAGAATTTCAATATCATTCCCATTCCGACTTTCGTTTGTTATGCCTGCACCTAAACCAGTGTCATTTTCAGTTCTCTCTGCTAAGGTATTTTTTGCTGAATTAAAATAGTCCTGTTGATTTTGTGGACTAATACCTGAAGCCTCAAATGTACTTTCACATTCGACATTTAATTCTAAAATTGATTTTTCGGTCGAATTCAAATTGTGGGCTAGATTTAAACATGAGTTTTCGTCTATTATGTTTTGAACACTTAAATCAATATCACTGTTTATGGTAGCTTCACTTGGTTCATTAACAGTAGTTTCAATCGATTTTGTACTTAGATCAACGTTTGACTCGTTTATACTATTACCAACACCTGATTCACACTGAATGGAACTAGAGTTACACTCTGTTGTGTTTTGTCCTGATTGATTGCATTCTAMGTTAGACTCATTACATACTTCGTGGTTTTGTACTGATTCAGGAATAATCACTATATTATCGTCCTCTCGATCTATTCTTAGCTTTTTGCATGTATCTTTAACTTCTCCGACCGCTAAGGCTTTATTCTCTAAATCTAAATATTTTTTAACATACTCTTCCGAAAGAGGGGGCCAATCTTTTAGAATGTTTGCAGAATTATTGCTAGAATCATCATTTCTTTCCAGCCGTTCTTCCTCCTCATCTATATAATCTTTTACTTTGAAGTGCATTCTAAAATTAATGTCTGTGACCAGTGTATTATAACGGTGCTCCACGTGATATGTAAAGAGCTTGTAATTTCGCTTCGAATCAATATCTTCTTCATTTTCCAGATCCACAATACAAGCATGCGTCCATGCAGCTGGATGTATATATTGTTCAGAATCTATTTTATAGAATCTTGATGCAACCATCTTCTGTTTTTCCTGACTCCGGCCACTAACAAATCGCTTTTCTTCAGTTAGTTTTCGAAATTTTCTCGGAACTAATTCCACCTCAAAGGGGTCTTCAACAGTTGCGACCAGTCGTTTGCSAGTACGTTTAGGTTTTTCCTCCGATTTCTTGGGTTGTTCTCCACCACTAAAATTGTTTAATAATTTGTTTTTAATTTGATTGAATATATTATTTAGGAATGTTCAGGTTGATTTAGATAGGGAATCAGTATGAAAGCTAAAGCTGAAGCTACATAACTTGCGTATATGTGTGCGCAAAGTGTGTTCAACAAAGTGAAATACATAAGTATATGACATTTAATTTTTCTTTACACTTATTTTCTTTGACATAACCCTAACATTACAAAAATTAAAATATAAATAGACATATAATACTTTTTTTTATTTAATAAAAGAAAATGCTGAATAATTGCTGCTTGTCCAAAACAGATCACGGAAGCAACTTACCAATGTCGGAAACTATACCTGCTATGATGTATGCTATTTCTAAATTGTTTCTATTTGTCATATGTATGTATGTATGATAACTAATTTAACAAGTGGCTTTATATTTTCAAAATCAAAACTGAAATGAATCTTAGAATTGTTTACTATTATATTGTCGAATAAGGCTAAGTGAAATACTTATTTCACTTTGTTATTAAGCATGTTGCTTACAAGCTGAGAAATTCGGACAAGAATTCGAATATGCGTAGAAGTTGTAATTTTTCTACTTTCATGAGTACATATTGTTTGTGTCAATTGTCGTCAATATCAACAATAAAAAATACTACATAAATATACTTAAAATTAAAAAGACAAAAAACATGCTTTTAATGCTAAACAAGCTAAAAAGTGAAAAATTATTTCTAATATAAGAAAAATCTAAGGTGCTTTTAGCCATATTTTTCGCATATCGAGCAACCTACTTTTTTTCCATAATAAAGTAAATAAATCAATACAAGTATCTTTTGCTTTTACTGTTGTTATATTGTTATTATTTTCTCTATTTAGTTTGATATGCTACGAAAACGCACTTAAAACAAAAGGTATGATATTCGTTTCTTTGTTTGTTGTTACATATGCATCCTATCGAACTGCTCTAATTTTACCCAACTAAGTACAAAGGCGAATGAGTGAGCTTCAGCTTAGTTTGAAATAAACTGGAAATGTTTARTGTTTCAAAAAAATAAATAAAATAAAACTACAATAGTATTATAAATCAATTAAAATCATAGTTAAATCAAAACGTATTCTAACCGGTATGTTATTTTATTGACACTTACCCGTTTTCAACAATTTCCTTGTCAGCATTGGATAAGGTCAGTATTTGTCGCTCCACCAATTCTTGTACAAAATCCACTCGCCGCGCATACACTTTTGAAGAATTCAAAAGCAATAAGCCTGCTTCGTTCAAAACAATTTCACGTTCTATACCCAACTTCTCAAATAAATCTAGATACTGTTTTCGAAATATTAAAAAAATAAATGAATATTTTTAATAAGTGTGTATGAGAGCACGGATATACGCTAGCAATTTTGCATCAGTAACTCTTAACTCACATATTTGAGAGATATGCTGAAATCAGTGGCATACTCTGCGTGTTCAGCTAACTCAATTAGCAGAAGAACAATATTTTTTTGAGAACGTTCCTCCTCCACACTATGTATTAGTTTCGAAACACGTGAATTAGGATGTTTGTTAGCTGCTTGCAAAATATGATCAAGAGCCTTGTTGTGGTCTACATCTAAAAACAATTTATCTCATATGAAATGCACAGAAAGTTATATTTACGTTTTCTTAATAGATACATATTGTTATGATGCACAACTTCACTAACACAACCACATACTTATATCACTAATATATTATACCAACTGCACTCTTGTTTCTAGTAGAGAATACCACTTCTTACCTAATCCAATCATTTTGTTCCCAGTTTGATTTTCATTTATTATAATATTTTAATATTTTACAAACTCTCATAATATGCACTTATTTTGGCTCTTATCTCCAATCTTATTTTGGTCTTCTCTTTCACAAAATTCATTTTTTCCCACATGTATTAATTTACTATGTTAAGGGATGCCGTGGTAATTAAAACTACTTTCTGGTTGTAGTAGTATTCGAGCGATGCATACGCTTTTTAAGTATACAAATCTCACGTAATAAAAAACAATTCCCCCCAAATCGTTTTGATAATTTAATAAACAAAATACTAGAAACGTTAAAATTTTATAAATTAATTTTTTGAAGTAAGTTTTCCAAAATTTAATACACTAATATGCATATCTTACACTTTCGTGTAGATGCTATCAAAAATCATCGATTATCCAGTGTGTTCGCTATTGAATTAAATCTCAGCCGAGTTACCAGACATCCAAATTAAAAAAAAAATATTTATTTAAAGTGTGATACAGTATCAAGTCTCTAAATTTGACAGAGACAATTGATTTCTTTTATATTTTGTAAGCATTCACCGTCGAACTGTCATCGTAACCGGTTGCTT